TACCTTTTAGGACAATATATTAATATTGACTCCGAGACGATAGCTTCACATTTTGGGCTAGATGACGATGGTTTATATAATGAGAAAGAAACTGTGGAATATCCCTATATTCCAAATGCTAGTGTTAGTACTCTACGATCTCATCATGATCGTCTTCTTCATTTGATGATCTCTTGGTGGTTTAGACCATCCGGAGGTAGGTACTCCACTCTTCGTATTAGGGATTTATGGTGGATGCACTGTATCAAGAATAAGAACAAAATAAATTTGCCACACATTATATTTTAGTGAGCTAGTGGATACCATAAACATTATTCCTTCAAAACATGTCGAAACATTAGTTTGGGGGATGTCTTCTTAGTAATCTTTTTATCAAACTCGATCTTAACGTCTCTCTTGACAATCCCATTCCTCTTCAAAACCAAATCAATCTCACCTCCTTGAAGAAAGCTGATTGAAAACAGGATGAGGAAACTGGTCAATGGGTTTATTGACCCTCTAAGCAAACTCCAGGAGCGAGTTCTTCACGAGCACCTCCTGCTCCTAGCTCTTCTCGTGCTCCTCCTCCTCCTTTGGCACGGGCTGCAGATGATGATCCTGATCTTCAAGGATTATTTCAAGACATTGACGATCCCGATAATGCATCGGCACCACAAGAGGATCAAGTGCCTCCATATTTTCGTTCGTTTTTGGAGACATTTGATCTACGGTTTACTTCCATCGATGCACTTAGGCTTATTCAAAACATCGAATGCATTTTATGCATCGATGCACACTTAGTGCACCGATGCACTAAGTGTTCCAACGGTCAAAATATTTGAATTTTACACTTGATGCACCGATGCACCTTGTGTATGCATCGATGCACTGACGTTCCCAACTAATTTTATTAATTGTTTTCACACTTAAACGGCTCTATTGACTCCACTAATCATCCCCAATGTTCAGAATCAATTGAAGGAGTATGTAAACAAGCTTAGAAGCCATTGATCAAAAACAAGAAACAACAATTAACAAGAATTGAGAGAGAATCAAAGAGAAAGCATCAAACTCATTGTTTGAGCAATTCAAGCCTATTTTTCATTCAATATTCATTGTGCTTTCAAGAACATCATTTGTGCTCTATTGTATTTATCCTTGAGTATTCTTTCTTTGTTCTAGAATTGTGCAAACAATCTACCTTGTGAGGTTTTCCTTGTAAGTTTGCAAATTTGTGTATTTTCTCTTTGAAAAAGAGTGTGCTCAAGAATTTGGGGTATAATTCTTGAGGGAGTTGTAAGGTTACTCTTTGTCCTCAAAAGAAAGAACAAATTAGTGAATTTGTTGGAAAATCCTTAGTGTGGATATCTAAGATAGTGGGCGTAGACTTTGGTTGAGAAAGTCGAACCACTCTAAATCGCTGTGCAAATATTTTCAATTTTCTGCAAAAGCTTCCACCAAAACTTTTATTGCCAATTCACCCCCTCCTTGGCAAATTCCGTCGATCGATTAACTCAACACCCTAAAATACTCAAATAAATAAATCTTAATGCTTATGAATGCCTTAACACCACAAAGGATTAGAAATACACTACCTTGGTTAAAGAATCATGAAATGAAGCTCCTTTAGCTAGTTATCACTCTTCTCCAAGACTTGGATGACAACCCCACTTTCTCTAGCAAAATAATAAACCCAAGGCTTGAATCTTCAAAACAAGGTTGCTGGAGGAATTATGGATGAATTTGAAGTTTAAAATATACATAAAAAGGCTTAAGAAGCTTACCCATAGCTATAGCACTTGGAAAGGAAGGGGGAGAATAAAATGAGAATTAATGAAATGAAGAGAAGAAGATGAAGAAAGATAAAAAGTCTTCTCATCTTTTCAAAATGTGAAAATTATATTATTGGTCTCTCTTTATATTTCTACTATGAGAAAAATACTCTTTTTGGCTAATTGGGCCCAATTATCATCCAATTAAACCTTAACTTGACCTGACGACTTTAGTTATGAACTCCACGAGGTTTGCATACCTCTCGGGTAAATCCAAAACTACTAGCCTAGAATTTGGGGTGTTACAGTTGAAGTTTTCAATTCTCTATGTGTTTTAGAGATTCAACATGGCTAAAGTGATTCAGTGGGCATTCAACAAGATCCAGATGAGCTTATTATGGAAGAACACATTAATTCCACACATGAAGTCGTGTCTTGTGAGGCAAATATTAATGGTTCATTATATGATGTGCAATTTATTCCTTATGTTGAAAATATTATAGTTGTCTATTCAACAGTCATCTCAAGTTATTCAAAAATTGTCATACCTTTAAAATTATTATTGTAATAATGCCTCTTCTCAATGTCTCTATCTTATTGAAGATTTTTTGTCTTCCTCAAAGCTATCAATTGAGTATGGTGGTTTTGTTTCTAATATTTCTTCTAAATATGAAGCTTCTTTCTATCATCAGGTTGTCAAGTCTTTGATTTGGAGAGATGTTATGAATGATGAACTTCGTGCTATGGAGTTCTTTGACACTTGGTCCATAGTTCTTTCACCTCAAGGAAAGAAAATTATATATTGCAAATAAGTTTATCATGTAAAACAAAAAGTTTTTGGCTTGGTTGATTGCTATAAAGCCAAGTTAGTTGTTCAGGGTTTACACAAGTTGAAGGGATTGATATGGACTTCTTTTCACCTATTTTCAAGATGACTTCTTACATAATGTTGCTTGCTTTAGCAGCAACATGAGGACGACATTTGCTTCAACTAGATGTTTAATCATTTTTTAAACGGTGTCTTAGATGGGGTTTACATGAAATTACCTCTTGGATACAAGCCTAATCTCAAGTATTCTAACATGGTTTGTAAACTTAGTAAGTTTATCTATGAGCTTAAGTAGGCATCCAGGCAATGGTTTATTGCTTTTTCGAGTGTCATTCTCGAGTTTGATTTTCAATAACCCCCTTTTGAACATTCCTTTTTACAAAAGATTCTAGTGATTATTTTGTTGTTCTCTTGATTTTTGTGAATGACATCGTAATAGCAGGGAAGGACTTGTAGTTAATGCATGAGATTCAAAACCTTTTACAACAACACTTGAAGCTAAAGGTGGTGGGGTCTTTGCGTTACTTTCTTGGTTTTGAGGTAGCTCGTAGAGTTTGGAATTTCTTTATCACAGAGGAAGTATGATTTGCAACTGTTGGAAGATATTGCTTACTTAGGCATGAAATCAATTGAATCTGCTATGATATATTCCTTGAAATCAGGTGTGTTGATGAAGGGGAATTGTTCCTTGATCCTCAAGAATATCGAACGTTAATAGGTCGATCTGTGTATATAACCAACATCATTCATGATATTGTTTATATTGTGCTTTTGTTGAGTCAATTCATATCATCTCCTCGTTTGCCTCATATGACAACTTTTAAACATCGTTTAGCCTACATAAAGTAATCGCTTGGACTTTGTTTACTTTTTCCTGCTGAATCTACTTTTTAGTTGATTATTTTTGTTACCCTGATTATGGTTTATGCCTTGATACTAGGCGTTCTACATCGGAGTTTTGTTCTTTGTTGGCAACAGTCTCATTTCTTGGAAATCAAAGAAACAAGTTATCTTGAGTCGATCTTCTTATGAGGCAGAATATTGAGGTATGATAGTTGCTACTTGTGAACTAATTTGGCTTGCTTCATTATTGTCTTCTTTCAATATATTTGTCGATCATGTAAAGTTATTTTGGGATAATCAAGTTGCGATTCATATGATCAATAATCAAGTGTTTCACGAATGAACCAAACACATTGAGGTTGATTGTCATTTTGTGAGAGATAAAGTCAAAGCTGATTTTTTGAAGTTGTTCCACGTTGCTTCTTCAGACCAAGCTGATGCGTTTTCAAAGACCCTTCGACCTCCCATACATTGTGTTTTTGTTGACAAGTTGAGACTTCTTAATATTCCATGCAATCCATCTTGAAGGGATACGATACATTATTAGTTAGTTAATCGGTTAGTTTTGGTGGTTAGCACAATTGCTTTATATAGCTGCCTTTGTATCCTCTTTACATATCAATGAAAATAAGAATTCATTCTTCTCTTTCGATTTTTCTTGGTATATTCTATCTCCAAACCAATAACAATGGTTGAAAATGGCTTGACCTAAATGCTCATGCTTGAGTTTCCCGTGCTTGTGTTTGTGTAATTATCTTCTTTACGGTTGTACCTTCCAATACAATGAAATGTTTCCATGACAGCTACTGCTCCTAAGAAATCCTTTGTGGTCCATGTAAGACTCGATGTTATAGATTAACTTGAATCACGACCATTCGCAATGGTTGGTTTGCAACCATATATTACGATTGATGATATTAATCTTGATACTATTGTTATTTAATTTGTGGTCATGTATGACGACTAATGGGTTATAGATTTGATATGCGATCATGTATGACGATCGGTGTATATATCATGTTGGACTAGGTGGTAATATTATTCAATTTACGATCATTTGTGACGAGGGACTATCCGGATAAATATCATACTATCTGACCACGTGTACAATTTTATCGATTCATTACTCGTGTGTTTGGTATACACAAGCTCATATACGTTTCAAATATACATAATGAGTCGGATTCATCAAATAATTTATCTTAATTTGGAGTCAAATTTAAGACTTTATAATTCTAGACTCGTATAATAAAAAAAAGGGTTTTAAGCCTTCAATTATAAAAAATAAATTAAAGAAAGAGTTATCATCATCCAATAAGTGAGAGACCCTGTTTGAACAGATTCTGGGTGTCTTGCCCATAAACCAAGCAAGTAAAAGTTAAAAAGTTGATTAGTATAATCATCATTGGATAATATATTTACAAAGCAGTGACATTGAAGTTCGTATAAGTCCAAAGATTCTACTTTCTTGTTGAATATTCAAATCAAACCCCACATGCTCTTACAAAATACAAGTGATGAACGGGCACTATTTCGTTTTGTTTTCTTCTCGTTTTTCCTTGTTCTCCCTTGCAAGCCCAATAATTCATTGAGATCTTAAAGTCAAACAACACTGCTGTAAGCATATCCACCACTCGACTCACTCTTCTTCTTCCCCAAGCTCACCTGCGTTCACCAATGGCGGTTGCGTTGGCAGTAACAGGTGGAGGCGGCCAATACAATGGTAGGATGACTTGGTTCGTTGTTCTGTCGTGTATGATGGCTGCCATGGGAGGTGTCATCTTCGGCTATGATATTGGAATTTCAGGTTTTTCTGTGCAGAATTTGTTTGTATCTCTATCTCTTCTTCCCTGACAATTTGTGCCCAGATTATTGATCTTTTAAACTATTTGTAGGTGGAGTGACATCTATGGAGCCTTTTCTCAAGAATTTTTTTGCGGAAGTATACAGGAAGATGAAGGAAGATACTAAAATCAGCAACTACTGCAAATTCGATAGCCAACTGTTAACATCATTTACATCTTCATTATACATAGCTGGCCTTATTGCCACTCTCTTCGCCTCGTCGGTTACGAAGGCTTTCGGTCGGAAGACATCGATCCTGGCCGGAGGTGCTGCATTCCTTGCTGGTTCAGCCCTTGGTGGTGCGGCTTTCAATGTCTACATGCTTATATTTGGTCGTATCTTGCTCGGAATTGGAGTCGGATTTGCCAACCAGGTACATGCTTTAACGAATTCCGATCTTAATTGTCTAGCGATACGTTAATTCCGATCTTATTGTCCTGCAGGCAGTCCCTTTGTATCTCTCAGAAATGGCACCACCTAGATACAGGGGAGCAATCAACAATGGCTTCCAGTTCAGTATTGGCATAGGAGCACTGGTGGCTAACCTTATTAATTTCGGTACCGAAAAAATCAAAGGCGGTTGGGGCTGGCGGATTTCCTTGGCCATGGCAGGAGTTCCTGCTTCAATCCTGACACTAGGTGCGCTTTTCCTCCCGGAAACACCCAGTGGCCTAATCAGCAGTGATCACGACAAGGCTAAACGATTGCTGCAACGTATACGAGGCACGTCCAATGTTGAAGCGGAGCTTGATGATCTCATCAAAGCCAGCTCAATCTCCAAAACCATCAAACATCCATTCAAGAGAATCATACAAAGAAAGTATAGGCCTCAACTAGTAATGGCAATAGCCATACCATTTTTCCAACAAGTGACTGGCATCAATGTCATTGCATTCTACGCCACACTTCTATTCAGGACGATCGGAATCGGTGAAAGCGCTTCCCTCCTCTCCTCTGTGGTAACCGGCGTTATCGGAGTAGGATTTCATATCAATGCTGATTGTCGATAAATTCGGGCGAAGAGCCTTATTCATGGTTGGGGGAGTCCAAATGTTCATCTCACAGATGCTTATAGGAGGAATCATGGCAACCCAGCTAGGGGATCATGGGACAGTAAGCCAAATGTATGCATATTTAATCATATTCTTGATCTGCATATATGTGGCTGGTTTTGGATGGTCATGGGGACCATTGGGATGGTTGGTTCCGAGTGAGATATATCAGCTCGAGATTCGATCGGCCGGACAAAGTATTACGGTGGCGGTCAGCTTTATATTCACTTTCATTGTTGCACAAACATTTCTAAGCATGCTTTGCCATTTAAAGGCAGGGATTTTCTTCTTCTTTGGGGGATGGGTGATAGTGATGACTGCATTTGTGTACTTTTTGTTGCCGGAGACTAAGAATGTTCCCATTGAACAAATGGAGAAAGTGTGGAAAGAGCATTGGTTTTGGACAAGGATTGTTGGGGAAGATGATGACAAGATTAAGGTTCAAGGTGCTTAAGGTTGGAATTTAACATAGATTGTTTAATGTAATAGTTTGTGTTACAAGGACAAGAACCTTTAAATAAACACACACAACTCCGATTAGCAAATTCAAGTGTCGGAGAAAGCATGAGATTTTAAATTCTATGTATAAATTTGGAGTTTGGACCATTCATGCGTTTGATTAGCTTCTTAATCAATTTTTTTAATAATTAAAAATATATTGAGTTAATTTCACAACACATCCTTAGACTTTGATTCTCATTTTAAATTGGTTTTATTAACTTTTGAACACTACAAATTCATCCCCAAATTATGACCCTAATTCAAAAGTAGTCCACAAACTTTTAACATTCCAATAACATCTCCCAAAACCATTAGAAAGTTTATGGAGGAAATTAAAACATTAAAAGAATTTGAGAACAATATAAAATGAGGATCATGGTTTGGGAATTAATTTGAAATGTTCAAAAGTTTAGAGAACGGTTTAGAATGAGAGTCATGGAATGAAATTAGAATGTGCAAAAGTTTGAGAATCAATTTAGAATAAGAGACAATTTAGGGATGTATAGTACAATTAACTCTAAAATATTTGGATAAAAATAAAGTTATAACGAATTTGGCTACTGTAATCTACTAAGAGGGTTTAGTATCGATATCATCCTACGAGTATCGAAACCGGGTTGACAGTATCGATACTATATGGGTGAATATCGATACTCTCCTCTCAAAACTCTTTTGTATCGATACTAAGATACTTTTTCAAAACATCGAACCTAATTTTGGTATTGATACCCAGGCCAATATTGATACCCCAACATTAGAGTATCAATACTATCCTCCCTTATACAATCAGTCAATATCGATACCAAGAAGTGGGTATCGATACTTAGTGTCAGTATTAGTACCAACGAACAATTTTGGATAAATAATCTAATGATTAAGGGATCAGACTTGAGGGTCCCAATAACAACAAAATATCAGCAGATAAAACTACAATTGAGAACAGTAATAAACTTCAAAACAACTAGAAATAGTAATAGCTAGGGATACATAAAACTAGCCTTGTTTGATGTTCGGGAAACAGTCATAACACCCTAGTCTCTTTAGCAGAATACGACAGTCAGTTGGATATCCCAATCAGTGCCAATGCACTTCAGTTGTCGACTAGGTGTAGATGCCCCAAGACTCGATGAAGTAAGTTAGTCAGGTGTACGTTTTCGATGCAATTTTGGATCTCAACCTAGATACCCAAGGGTATTTTACAAAAGGCTAGAGGGGTGTGTGAGCTCCGAGATGTAGAACCCTCAGTCACACCATGATGTCTACTCAGCAGTTCATACAGTAGTTCCCATGTTCATATACCTATGCGACTCACATGCTCATTTAGTCAATGCATGTAGTATAATACAATTATTAGTGTGACACTAAGCTCGTAAGCTCAGAATGTGTTTTAGTGTGCAGGTTCCTAGGTGACCAATAGCGAGGCATTATCATCGATAGCAATTCCATATCAGTCTAGACATTCAGAGTACGTCTTGAGTTATTCTTAGAGGGCATTTACTATTTATAGACCCTTATGTATTCAGTTTTAACTCTCTCTTTTTTTGGGTTTAAACTCAGTATTGTATTGTTTTGGATATTTTGGGAGCTCCTCATACTTATAAACTTTATTACTATGTTCTAATTTATTTTAATATGGATGAGTTTTATTAGATGGTTTTTAAATCAATTTTAAAGAAAAATTTTGGGCTAGTCACTTTTGTGGTCCAGTGTGACATGTTAATCCATCGGTCTTCGAATTGGATTAGGGTGTTACAAGCTAATGATGAGAGATTTTAGTCATATGTAGGGATTAAATATTGGATCAATTACACATTTTCACTTGTTGTACTTTCAATTTTTTTTCAATTTACTCACTGAACTTTATAAATTGAATTTTTTTGCCACTCTGTTGTTAAATAATTAAAAGGTGTTATGACATGGCAACCTACATCAAAACAATGTTGTTTTGAATTCTTGAAAACCATTAAATTTTAGAATAAAATGATGTCGTTTTGATTAAAATACGGCCATGTCATAACTTCGTTAATTATTTAACAGTGGAGCGACCAAAAAATTCAATCTATAAAGTTCACTGAGTATATTGCAAAAATTAAAAGTATGATGAGTGAAATAGAAGCAATAATAAAATTCAGCTACCAAATGTGTAGTTTATCCATTAATATTTAACTAAAGTTTAAGGATCAAATTGATATTTTACCTAAAAGTTAAGGATCAAATTAATATTTATCTAAAAATAATGTTGAGATTAAACATTAACCCCTTTTACTAATGTTCTAACAATATTTAAGGTCTCCATCATCAAAATTTATAAACTGATAACATAAATAATTAGAATATTATCTTTTTACAATTTAATGACCAAAAGTAAACACCTATGGATATAAAGGGAACATTTCGGTAATTTATCCAAGTAAGAAATAACTGGCCTAACCTTTTAAATTTTGAAAAAGAATTATCCCAAAAGTAAAACTATTAGTAAATTTGAACTCTTACGACTAAATAATTTATCCATAAATAAAAGTAGTTCACTTTCGACTTTCGCTCTCGCCTGCCGATTCAGCTCTCAAAAAAGAGAAGTTCGTCTTACATCTTCGCATCCTTTAAGCTAACATATAAAGGTAAATGTTATTCTTTTTAGTTTTCCGTCAAAATTAGGTTTTGTTCCGATCATATGTTTTGATGATCACCAAATATGATTATGTATCGATTCACTTCTCTTATGTTCTCTCAAGTTTCAAATCTTTGCTTTTTTTTTGGCAGTTTCCGGTTATATTTCGTTATTGATTATTTTCCGGTTTGCGTTAATCTTAAACGATGCCTTCAGCCGTGTCGCAGCAGTGGCAAGAGAAGGCGACTGGTTTTTTTTTCTTCCTCAGGTTCCTTTTACAACCAATCTTCATTATATTATTTTTATTTTCTATGTTTTTGCAACATTAGCCTTTTTTTTATTTTGAATTTCGATTGCGGGGTGAAACTAAAGGAAGCTAGCCAAACAGCCGGGACGTTTGTCGGAGAAGTTGCCAAGGATGCCAAAGGCAACGTCACTGACGTGGCGGAACGATTTGGTTCCATGGTGAAAACCCGATGGATGATTCTCCGGAAGCCGGCGACGAGACATGCTCTGCAAGAGAGCCTTATATCCGCTGCTGCAACGACCGGAACCTTTCTGAGGAAAGGCATCACTGGGACTAAAGACAAGGTTGTTGTCGGGAAAACAAAAGTTGAAAAGGTAAAAGATTTTTAGCTCTGAAAATAATTTTAAGCGATTGTTCTCAACAATTTTTACTCATTACCATGACTTGTTCAATGTATTGATTACATCTTGAGAGAGGATGGAATACCGTGTGAATTTTGAGTTTTCCTGTTTCATGTGGGATACTTGTCTATGGTTATGCTATTGGATTCTTCCTTGCTTGACCATTTATCTTTAATTGTGATTGTTTGTTTTCTAGCCTCTGTATCTTATCTGCCCGACTTCCTGCTTTGTAGATTTCTGTCGGCTATGTTCGTTGCTTTGATAAGTTAAGCTTGTCTTCTTATCAAAAGTTAGGTTATGCTAGAGAGATATCGATTTTGTACTCTACAGAAAGGGTGTTAGTTGCTTGGCATCACTTTTTTTATTGCAAAACTTTCAAGTTTCTAGTAACCAATGGATTTCAGATTCTTTTCTTCTTGTTATTATGGTAATTGTGGATGTTACAGTGGATCTTGTGTAATTGAAAATGCTTAAAACAAGGCATTGATGTAATTGTTTATTTTCTTACAGACTAGGTTTACCTTGGCTTATACAGATATTATGGTGAAAAAATCACATGTAATGGTGGATTTGTTGCAGGTGGCAAAAAAGACAGCGCAGAAAAGTTAGATAATCTTGACTGATACAGAGAGATGGCAAAAGGTATTGGCATTGTGTGCTTTGCTTTTATAATTGTTGTTTGTTTTTCAATCTTTAGTTTTTTTACATGCACTATCAAGCTTCTGAACTCTTACAATGTGTTTCATTTGCAGGGTGTTGCTAGCACTGATGGTAAATTTCTCAATCTTGGCCTCTGGATTCTCCAAATTGTGACTTCTTTGGGGATCTTTATCATTTTGCTTCTCTTTATGGACATTACGGTAGTGCATATTTTAGCCCCCCTTTTTTTCTGTCTTCAGTATTTGGAGTACCTATTGAGGTTACTGTGCAAAGCCAGCAAGCCAGCAAGCCCATCCTCTTATATTGGTGAAATGTGCAGATTATCTCGTGTTATCAGGTGACTCAGATGAAAATTTTCTTATTTAGAAAATGTTACTGGAGTCTTCAGTATACATTTTCCTTTCTCCAGCGGGTTACATATTTGTTGGTTTTTTAGGTCTAAATTCTCAGTACTTGTTTAAATCTGAAGGAGATAAGAAGATCATTGAGCAATTGGTTACTGCATACAACCAAGGTCTCTTATCTGCTTTAATTTGACCATAAATTATTCTATTTGGATTGCATCCTAATTTGTAGTCATATATATGTCACAGATTTTAATGCCTCTATACCAGAGGGTGTGAATCCAATTGATGTAGCAGCTCTAACCAAATACTACATTGCTAGTCTTCCTGAGCCATTGACTACCTTTGAGCTTTATGATGAGATCAAAGGTGCCCGTTCCAGCATTCATGCTATGAGAAACGTACTAAAGAGGCTTCCTACTGTAAACTACATGACTCTTGAGTTCATCACAGCATTGCTGCTTCGTGTTAGCCAGAACAAGGTATGAATTCTCTCTCTTATTTTCATCCGTGCATTTCCTTTATAAGATGGTTTTGAGAAAGGTCGGATATAATTGTAAAAGCTTATATTTCGCCAATATGTGAAGGTTACCTTTTAGATCTTTTGAACTTCAGTATGTTACCTTGTACTGAGCAATATTTTGGTCTGTCCTATGTATCAATGGGCTAAAGTTAGTCTAATGATAAAAAGTCTCCGCTGAAGTTTTCATGGATAATTTTTCTTTGGGACCATTATTAGCATGTTTTTATAGTCATTGTGAACAAAACGCATAAATAAAGCAGTTTCTTCGTTTCTGCACCTCTATCCCTCCAAATAGTTGGCTTGCAGTTATGTGCTTATTATGATCTAATAGACGAGTAGTACCTATTAACAGTGTTTTATTGTTGTTTATCTTCCAACAGATGGATGCACGAAGCCTAGCCATGGAAATGGCCCCTGTTATTATGTGGCAGAAGGATCTGAAACCGGAATCATATAGGAAATACTGGAGTCGTCCACCCAAAAGTCCTTCCAATGCTAGCATGGATCCAACCGCTGCTTATAGTGCATGGGACATGCTTGCTGGTAAATTTTCTTATCAGCTACAATCTATGCACATATCAGTATATTGTACAAGACTCTGGCTTCATATCATTTCGGGGGTAGCTAATACCAATAACACTATCGATAGATTAGGTATCTACTTACGGGAGCTAGATCTTAATTACAGCATAGGAAATAGTGGAAAATTAAGTGAACCCAAAATTGATTTCAAGAAGATTCTGGTTTTCCTTTATGTTTCACACTTTGTCATGGCCACAGATGATGGAGAAGATACGGATGCTTCCTCCCACATTCCTTTAGACGATGGTATGCCGGTTGATTTTGGTGCCATTGAGGTTATTCAATGTCTTATAGAGCAACACAATCCCATATTCACAGATGCTAACGAGACAGTCTGGAGATGATCGATACATCTCCAGGTACGATGTTCGAAATTGGATAGAGATGATTGGTTTGCAGTAGTGGATATTTTTTGTTGCCAGACAAATCTGGTGGAGCACTTTAAGATCATTAGTGGATACTTATTTGTATTTGGAGATGAAATTGAAATTACCTTAAGCGACTGTTTATCTTAAAAAGCCTTCTCTTTTAGGTTTTAACATAAGAGGCAAATTTACATTAGTGAAAACGAGTTAACGATTATAAGAATCAGTTGCGAATGCATTATCCTACAGAGTCATCACTCTCACTTCGTTTTTTCGGGTTCAGTTAACGTAGTGAGATGGATTGGGTATATTTATGGTTTAATATAAAAATAAGTGTTCAAATTATATTTTTTTCTATTTAAGTGTTTAAATTATTTTTTCAGTCGATCTAGGTGTTTAACGTTACACTTTTAGCTTCTTGGACTATCATTGCCATTAAATGACATGTGTTGTTTTTATAAAATTTTAAAAATTTTATTTAAAATAACACTTAAAAATATTTTTTTAAAACCCCTGTGTTTATGAAATTACAAATAAACCCCAAAACTCTTAAAATTATATTTTCAATCCTCCTGTCATTATCATCCGTGACCATTGTTGTCAATTGGCCAAAATTCCAATGGCGCATGACCAAACGAACACTCAAAGGTTGAAACCCCCAAGTCCAACATCTAATTGTAGCTAAAATCGATGATGGAGGTGAAAATCGTCGATTGCGAAATGTTGCATTTACAATGTTGTTGGGTGTTTGGTCGGTTGCAAAAATAAGGAGTTTTGGTTGTGGGTGGGTGGTCGGTCACATGTCGTTGGGTGATAGGCCGATTGACGATAGTGGTAAAGGGATTGAGATTAGAGTTTTAAAAGTTTTTGAGGTTTTTTGTAGTTTTATAAAATTTTGGGTTTTCCTTTAAAAAATTATAATTATAAGTTGTTTAATTTAAATAAAAATTTTAAATTTTATAAAGATGACGTGTTTCCTTTAACGACATAATTTAACGGTCGTGATAGTCCAAACACCTAAAAGTGTAATGTGACATGTCTGACTCATGTTCGGTAAAGAATACAGGAAATATGTGTTACACACAATATTGGTTTTGTTCATCCAGTACCGATACCTAAACCCAGAAATACTCTATTTTGTACACGAAAATGATACCCAACTTCCCCATAAACCCCTCTAAATGTCTAAAACGTTAAAGTGAAATCTACCTTGGATGTACTTATATGTTTCATGAACTCATACAAACCAACACATCTAGTGATCTATAAGTAATAGAGATGAGTTAGAAATGTGTTGCCTTGAATCCTAGATTGCTGAAAAATGTTTGCACTCAACCAAGAATCAACTTTTCCTTGCCTTTGGTCTTAGATTTTTGTCCAACTTATTTCACTATTCACAACAAGAAAAAAATGAGTTACTAATTCATTTAGGAGCTTAGAAGGAGGTTAAGAACACTTTTTAAGGCTTAAATTCCCAAAATAATATGGTAACATATGAGTTTCTAAACCCCCTTAAACTCCTATTAATGGCTACCATATCCAAATCTTGATGTTAAGGGCTTGAAAGGAAGCTTGAGATGTGGAGATTAAGATTTTTACCTTTAGAATCTCGGACAAAGCTTGCTAGATCACAAAGTTGCTACAAATCAGAGTTTGAATGGAAAAAGAAGGCAAAAGAGATGAAAAATAGACATGAAGCTCTTTCTCGTTGACATTATCCTTCATAAGGGAATTCAGTCTTTGAAAATGTTGATAGGTTAATTACCTTCTTGGTCTCTCTAACTAAGGTCACCATTCAAAAATGTCATTTTTTTACCCTAATTGAGCCCAATCCAACTTTCATTTGGACCAAGCTTTTTTACAAGACTAAAGAGGTTAGTTAAAAATGCTCTTGGTTTAACCCGAACCTAATAAGCTGAGATTTGAGGTGTTACAATAATCTCTAAAATTTAGACCTTGAAATCTTAAATTATAAGTTTAAACCTTAAACTCTAAATAAAATTTTAAATTTTAAAATAAAAACATAAAAAACTAATTTAACTACAATAATTAATGTTGAATTTAAATAAAACAAGAATCTAACTTTAAAACATATATAGCATTATAAACAAATTATGATAAAAAATAAAATCTAAAGAAAGAACCTTTTAATTTATTATAATAACGATTTTAGATGATATAATATAACATTTAACTATATAGCATATCATATTATTATATATTACACATCAATATTTATATGCATCAGTGTTTACATGATAGTCAATAATTTTTTAATGATTTTATTAAAAAAATATTATATATATATACATAGTTTGAGAAATAAAATTATAATATTAAAAAATTATAACCTAATTTAAAATAAATCATAATTTAAAATAATCTAAACAATAAAAATGCTGAGAAATGATTTAAAATAAGTTATAATTTTTTTGAACTTGAAACCATACTAATTTTATCCAAACAAAAGAAAATACAACAACAATACAATCAATCAAAGAGAGATTTATAGATGTCTACTAAAAAAATTGAAACATAAAATAATAAGAAAACCTAAGGGATCAAAACCTTCGTTTAAATCCCACGTTCATCATCCACAAATACCTAGTAATCATTAATATACTCATTTATCCCCAATTAAACACTTAAGAGATGGAGCCACGAGTTAACCAAAGTAAACTTACAAGTTGTTTCGTAAATGGATCTAAATATATTGATAAATAATAAAAAAAATTATTAAAAAATCATCGACAATCGTAAAATCAGATATAAATAACATGAGAATTTTTACACAATTACATGTCTATCACAAAAAATGTGCCATAAAACCAACATGCCACAAAAATAAAATAACATGTGCCACACGAGTAAAATTACAAAGGTGACAGACAAAGAATAGCATGAGCAAAATATTAAAAAAGAGGAAATCAAACAAAATAGATTTTATTAAAAATCAGAAAATCCTTGAATTTTTCCTCAAAGTTACACAATCGAGAAAATCCAAGTGGGCTCCTCTACAAGATTTTTGATTGGTCTGTCACCGGCTCAAAATCAATGTAACAAGTTACTCTAGTCTTTACAACCTTCACTTAAGTGGACTCTTTGGAACATGAGATTGGAAAACAAGATCTTCAACTCCTCCGAATTCCGATGGCTCCTACAAACCTGCCCATCGCACTTGTCCGCCTCTTCATCTTCTCTTCTCTGGTTTTTGATTTGGTTACACTGGTTTTGCGACTTTTGGCCCCTCTTTTTATATATGATTATCAGGTGAGAGGACAAGGGGTTGAGGATTCTGGGAACTACCCAATAGTGGTGAGCACATGGCCTTTCGTGGAGGCTGTGAGAGCTGCGTGGGAAGCGGTTGATAAAGGGTTCGACGCCGTTGATGCGGTGGTGGAGGGTTGTTCTGCTTGCGAGGAATTGAGGTGTGATGGTACAGGTTGGTGGCATCCACTCTGGGTTCTCATTTTTTGGGTCTAATTTCGCAGGAATCAGGATATTTCTTGTATATGATGAGATGGGTTTTATCCTTTTTTCTTGAATATACAAGGCTTTTGAACGTACTGCCTCTTTAATGAAATCCAATGAGATTCAATGTCAATCTCAAAAAAGAAATAAAATATATGCATTTTTTTTTGTGATTTGTTTAACATGTTTAATGTCCTGAATGGTATGAATTTGACCGTAACAGTGGGTCCTGGTGGCAGTCCGGACGAGAATGGCGAAACTACAATCGATGCATTGCTTATGAACGGGGTAGACAAAATTGTGCCGACTTTGTCTTGTGTGTTATTTTGATCCTTGTTTGTTTGCTCGTATTAAGAGAAACAATTTAATTTTGTGTTCACCAAGGACATGCATTAGGCCACGATGGAGGTTGGAGCTGTTGCTGCTATGAGACATGTAAAGGACGGCATTAAAGCTGCAAGATTAGTGATGCAACATACAAAACACACAATGCTTGTCGGTGACCGAGCATCTGCCTTTGCGATTTCAATGGGTCTTCCTGGACCAACAAACCTCAGTTCATCAGAGTCTATGGAGAAATGGGGAAATGGAAAGAAAATCACTGTCAACCTAATTTTTGGAAAAATGTTGTGCCTGTTGATGGCTGTGGCCCTTATAAACCCAAGGATAACATGGGGCTTGATATGGGGTTTTGTTCCATAGGCAATTCGATGGGAATTGTTGATTCCAGGACATCTCTGTTGGTCCTCATAACCATGATACCATATCAATGGCTGTTATTGATAAAGTAAGTTGACGTTATTGCTGGTTCATTGCAATTCAAGCGCATATGTGCGGAAATTCACATTTGTTTTCAATGAGATTATTTTTCTTGCATAGATGGGACATGTGGCTGTTGGTACATCAACGAATGGTGCAACCTTTAAGATCCCTGGCAGGTACAAGTGTTGTATTTGGTAAATTATTATCTCATGAACCTGGGAAGATATTGAATGATTCCAAATAAATTAGTTTGAGAACACAATCGGAGTCTTCGTTCAACTTATTCGCAGCTAACATATTATTTTGCCCGATTGCAGGGTGGGTGATGGACCTATTGCTGGATCTTCTGCATATGCTGATGATGAGGTTGGTGCTTGCAGTGCGACGGAGATGGTGACATCATGATGCGCTTCCTTCCATGGTATCTAATAAGTTCGAAAATTTAACTTCCACCATTCGTATCATGTTATACTAGTTAAATATCAGAAATATTTTCTTCTTTTTCAGATAAGCCCATTACTTGAAATATTTCAGAACAATGTTCTTAGAATTGAAAGTCTTTACGAGAAGGGCTGCAAATAACTAGGATTGACTCTTCAATGAGAATTATTTTATGTTGTTATGCTTAGTTAGCATGTTCTTTTTTTTCCAGATGGCTAATCTTCTGTGTACTCATTTTTTTTTTTCCTTTCACAGTTCACCCTTTGCAACTGTTCTATTTCAATTAATCTGTTGCATGCTTAATCCTTATCTGGTGCACACCATGTCTAATTTTTAGTTATCAAGTTGTGGAGAGCATGAGACAAGGAATGGAACCAAAGCTTGCGGCCAATGATGCAATATCTCGAATCGCGAAGAAATTCCCAGATTATATTGGAGCTGTTGTTGCTGTCAATAAGAAAGGTGAACATGCTGGTGCATGTTATGGATGGACATTCCAATACTCGGTCAAAAACCCCGATATGGACGACGTAAAGGTTTTCACTGTGCTGCCCTGAAATTGCTTCTGCCTAACATGCCTGCTTTCAGTATTATCACCATAAGCGTACAACAATTCATCATAGGACAGCTATTGATGTGTATTTTTGCCAGTGGCAATGACTATTCTTCCAAAGTATTTGTATAATGACTATATGAACAACTTTGTAGTGCATACTTTTCAAAAGTTCCTCTCAGCCTAGCCTTTGGATAGTGGTGGCGTACGCGTTTGGTAGGAAGGACTTTCAGACCTCTGTCAAATGTGGATGAATAAATTAAGGGTAAACTACATGTTTAGTCACCCAACTATCACTTTTTTTATGTTTTGGTCACCCATCTTTTTTTTTCAAAAAATCATATTTAACATTTAGTTTAGGTTTCATTTTGGTTACCGCCGTTAAAACTTAACATTAAATGATTTTGAAAAAAAAATTAAAGGATGGTGATCAAAATGGACCAAAAGTTATAGTTGGATGACTAAAAATGTAGTTTACCCTAAAATTAATGATACTCTAATGAAGTTGGAAGACCAAAGAATCTTGGGCTAGGCATCTATTAGTTTTGTTAAGGGTTAAATACTCTTTTAGTATGTGAACTATATCCAATTTATCAATTTTATATAATTATTTTTTCATTCTCAATTTCATATACAACTTTTTTTAGTCGTTGACGGGTTTCACTTCTATCACGGAAGTTAACACGAATTCTTTTAATCAATTAAAATTTGATATTTAAGATTTATTTTTTTAAAAAAAATCTTATATTAACAAGATTAGTTATTAATGTTTTATTAATATTTTGATTTCAATAATTAATTAATTATGCCATTTTAATTTTTAATTTTCCTTATTATGCAAAACCTACCGTTTTTCTCGGTCAAAGGAGCGATGTGCTGCCGTTTGGAAATCATGGGGGATGACCTCCGGACTTTTCGTCTGGCGGTGGTTCTCAGGCGGTTGTGTTTGGAGGATTTCAGGTGGTCCCTTTTGATGATTATGGGCGGTCTGTTGGGAATGAAGCAAATGAGGTTTTCGAAACCACGCACGATACGTTGCAAGAGGTGAGGGTAATCTTGGACAGTAGCTTTTTGGGTTAAAGGTGAGCGATGTGGACACAGTCATGACTGATGGAAGGGAGAGCAATGTGAGGGAGGGTGACACCCATGAGAAGGATGTGAATTCGGTAACCTTACATAGTGATAATTCCATGTCTAATCCACACATTGGGAGTGGGAAACTATCGTTTAGGGATATGGTTAAGGGGACTTCGCTGAGGGGCCAACTGAATGTTTCGGCTCATGATCTGGATGTCGACGAAATGATTGAGGATGTTGAGGTGATTTCAGGGGGTCATTTCCTGAAATTAAATTCTCAAGGCGTGTTCATGATGCCATTGATGCCAAGCTTGCGGACTCTATAGTTGTTCGCCTGTTGGGCAAGTCTATCGAGTATAGAACGCTACTGAATCGAATAAAGATGATTTGGAATCCTCAGGGTGAAATTAATTTGATTGATCTGGTCAATGAGTATTACATGGTACGGTTTGCAAACGAAAGGATTATAATCACATATTATCTCGAGGGCCTTGGATCATTTACGGGTGTTATCTTACAGTTCAACTGTGGAGTCGCTCATTCTCTACTATGGTTGAATATCCGAAGAAAAAATGGCTTGGTGTCATCTTTCAAGTTTACCCTATCGCTATTATACAAGAAGTTTGTTTAGATATATAGGGAAAACAATTGGTATAATGGTCTGTGTTAACTATAATACGAAGGATGAAAGTTGAGGACATTTTACGAGGCTATCCATTGTTGTGGATTTAGAGAAGTCGCTCGTGTCTGGGGTTATTATCGATGGTCATAAACAACCGGTGGAGTATGAAGGTTTACCGGTTATCTGTTATAATTGTAGGGGCAATTTATCGGCCATGGCGATGAATGGTGATGAGGGGCTAATGCGAATTACAGATGAGAACTTGTATGGGCCTTGGATGCAAGTGGCCAAACGTACCAGGAAGGTTCCAACAAATCATAAATGTGGTAATATCGAGGCATCTATCCGATGTGGATGAAACCTTAATGGGTCCCAATTTTCGGTGCTTGATACTCATATGGATGAGGAGAATGTGCGGCCATTTTCATCACGGGAATGACATCAAGCGGTTGATCAGCAAGGAAGTGGTGGCGTTGGTTTGTTTAGTTATCCCCTAGATGGGTGAGAAGGTTGAATCTTATAGGCAAGGGGGTAACGAAAAAATGCAGGAAAGTCAAAACAGGTGGACATCAGTGCTCAGGGGATTCTGCTTCAACTGATCAGTCTTAATACAATTGCTTACACTGATAATGTAGTTCAAGTTCATTCATCGCTTGACAATGACAAGCATGTTGCTGTTCAAGTGAGAATGAGTGATAAGAATCTGAAAACTATAGATCAGGGAATTAGCGACTCACGCTAAGTAAAAAAAGCTTCTTCCCGAAAGGGGTCAGTAAAGGATTATCGACAGTTCAAGGGCTATTACGGAAAGATTGAAAGACTCGAAAAAGGAAGATAGGGTGTCGACTAAACCAGTGTTAACGGAATAGTTAGTCCATGCACACTAAATTAGACCAGACACAAAGTTCGACCGTGTTACCTAGGTATTGTGATATCTCGACTGTTAGTCGGGAAGAAGAGTTGCCCCTTTGTCGTGCTAGTAACGTTTTTGTACATTATGCTCTAGATGAGATGCAAACTTAATCGTGGGGGTATTCTCTAATTTTTTATGTCTAAGTTATTCTTTTGGAATGTTCAAGGTACTTGAGATCCTGATTTCAACCATTATTTTAAGTTTATTAGATACTCGTAACTAGATTTAGTGGCAATCTTTGAACCTTGAATTAATGGGTTGACTGTTGATTAGTTTTTCATAAATTGGATTTTGACTTCTCGTATCGGGTGGAGTCGCGAGACTGTTCAGGGGGCATTTAGATCCTTTGGAGGGGTTCTATCCGGTTCTTAGTTCTGGCAGTCTCTGGGGAGTTAATTCATGGTTGATGTGCTATCAGTATTGATAGTCGAGGTTTTTTCTTAACGTGCATTTTATGCTAATCCTGGTAACAGTTTAAGGAGATGTTTATGGAATGAGTTGAAGGTGTTGATCCTGGTTCGGACCAGTCTTGGGTGCTCGTGGGAGATTTTAACGTTATTTGAAGTCGCTCGGAGCGCTAATGGGGTTTGTAAAAACGGGTGGGAATTTGTAACTGCTTTTATGATTTTATGTTTGATTTAGGTTGTATGATTTGGGGTTTATTGGGTCGAAGTTCAGTTGAAGAGGGGACTTTGTCACAACGGCTTGCATGTGTGTGTAGTTCCTCTTGGCTCAATACTTTTTTAATTAAGAGGTGGTGCATCTACAATGATTGGGATCTGATCAACGTCCACTTCTGGATTTGGGTACGGTCGTATTTTGGTTTGGCATCGACCGTACAGGTATATTGATGTGTGGAGCAATCACTCCGATTTTCCAAGGCTTGTGAATGTACTTGGGTTGATGGGAAAACCATCAGCGATAATTTTGGACTTTCAATGTAGGAGTGAGTGGAACAATAATTTTTTGTATTCCTAAAGCATAAGGCTTTTCTTATGGCTCGCATTAAAGGCATTAAGCGGGTTCTTGAGGACTCGGAGGATGAATATTTGTTACAATTGGAGGACGATCTTAAAAAAGAGTTGGGATGAGTTCTCTCTTAGGAAGATAGTCTTTGGCGTCAAAAGTCTCGCAATTTATGGATCTTAAAGGTGACCTATTACTTTTTTTCATCGATCAACTATGGTGCGAAGGAGAATAATCATATTGCAGTTGTCAGATGTTTGTTTGAGTAGTGACCACGACCAGCTCAAGGAACTTGTCGTGGGTTACTTTTAATTTGATTGCTTCAGAGCATACTCACTCTAGTCATGTTGTTCATGAGTGCAATTTTTCCAGTTTAATGGTATTCAACTTTTCCCTACTCAATGAGGTCTCAATGGATGGTTCCAATGCTTTGTTTAGTATGGAGCCTTTGAAATCTCCAAGAGTTGATGGGCTTCTGTAACTTTTTCTAGAAGAATTGAGTGTTGTGGGTTCTTCTATCTTCGGTTCATCAAGCGTTTTTAATGAATGACTGTTGGAGGACTGGGTAAATGTGTGTGGTTTTAATCCCGAAGGTTAGTAATCTCGTCTCTTTGAGCCATTTGACCGATCAGTTGTGTTGTACTATATAAGATGGTGACTAAGGTTTTGGTTTGTCGGTTGAAACCTTTTCTTTCGATATGGGTGGCACAAACTCAAGTGAGTTTTGTTTCAGGCCCAATACATTATAGTGGCAAGAAGCGATACACCCCATGGCTAGGAAAAGGGAGGAAGAGTTAGATGGTTATAAAGGTTGATCTTGAGAAGGCGTATGACTGTTTGGAGTGGGATTATATTGAGCAGACTCTTCATGATACGGGATTCCCGATCATTTTTTGAATTTATTATGATTTGTGTACGTTCAGTCTCTACGATTTTATGGAATGAGAGCTTTCGATTATTTTAAAAAGGGATCCGTCAAGGGGATCCATTATCTCCCACCTCTTTGTGATTTGTATGGAACATTATCTCAAATGATTGAGAAACGGGTTGCGGAGGATTAGTGGAAGTCGATTGTCTTGTCTAGAAATGGCCCGAGTTTGTCTCACCTGTTTTTTTTTTACTAACGACCTTATCATTTTTGCCGGAGCAGAGTGGAGTCAGGTGACAACTATTAAATCTGTGCTTGATGGTTTCTGTCATGAATCAGGTCATCATATTAGTGTTCCTAAGACTCAAATCTTTTCTCAAAGAATTGTGCACCTCAGGGAGGAATACAATTGTAGGGGCTTTTGGATTTGCAGAGGTTAAGGATTAGAAAAGTATGGGGTGCCATACTTCATAGTAGAGTGACTAAAGCCACTATGGTTACCTTCTTGACCGTGTGAATAGTCAGCTTTGGAATAGACATCGAAGATGTTGACCTTGGCGGGATGTGTCACTTTAGCGAAAGATATTTTACAGGCAATTCCGGGCTATGTTATGCAGTCTATGTGATGTAGGTTGATCTACACGCTTTGATGAAAGAGAGTAGATAGCCTTATTGTGTCCCAATCTAGGATTGACAAGTACTGATGTCCTTGAACTATAAGTTTAGGCTGCAATA